GTAGATAAATAGGTACCAATGCAGTGGAAAGCTAAATGGTGTTTCTGTGTGCTCTGGTCCCCATCACAGTGTTCCATTGCACAAGAAGCGGTTTATTCATGCTGGCCATATGACCTGGAAAGCTGTCTGTGGACAAATGCCGGCTCCCTGAAGGCGAGATGAGCGCCGCAACCCCATAGTTACCTTTGACTGGACTTAACTGTCCAGGGGTCCTTTACCTTTACCTTTTACCCTAGGCATATTGAATGGAGCTTGTTCCCAGTAAGGAAGTTTTACTTTATACTCACTGAATTTAGTGAGGGTTACTTCCAAGTAGACTTGTATAGAAGTGTGCTATTGTGGAGAAGTAAAATTAAGGAAACACGGCTGGAACTTCTGCATTATAGTCATGGTGTTGTTAGTATGCTTGTTTGATATATGTGCCACTGTACATACCTGCAGACTAAGGCTGGGTAAGCCCTAAGGCACATTCAAAGCACAGTGTTTCCCTCAAAGAATTCTGGGTGCTGTAGTTTGTTAAGAGGTACAGTGGTACCTCAGTTTAAGAACAGTCTGGTTTAAGAACAATTTGGTTTACAAACTCTGCAAAACCAGAAATAGTGTCTTGGTTTGAGAACTTTACCTTGGTCTAAGAATGGAATCTGAATGGTGGAAGGTCACCGGTGGCGGGAGGCCTCATTAGGGAAAGCGCGCCTCGTTTTAAGAACGGTTTTGGTTTAAGAACGGACTTCCAGAACGGATTACATTCATAAACCGAGGTACCACTGTCCTTGGAATTACCCTCCAACATTTCTCTGATGAAAATAGGGACGTCCCATTCTGTAATGATAATTTCACTATTTATACCCCACACATCTTACTAGGTTGCCCCGGCCACTCTGGGCAGCTTCCAACATATATAAAAACATAATGAAACGTTAAACGTTAAAAATGACTGCCCTATACAGGATTGCCTTCAGATGGCTCGGGAGTCAAATAACTCCATAACCTCCAACATTTCTCCAATGAAAGCAGGGACATTCCAGGATCAAATCAGAAACAAGGACAGCTTCTCTAAATCAGACACATCCCTGGAAAACAGGGACACTTGGAGGGTCTGGAATTCTATCTATATGAAGGGTATACTACAGTGTCCAGAATACTTTGAGGGAAATAATGTGCTTTGAATGTGCTTTAAAGGTATATTGCATGCACAGTTTGCTTCTGTGTGTTCAGAGACTAGCCTCTTCTGGAATAGAAAGGACTGGGGAGAATTAGACCAAATGTGCCAGGGGAAATGTCCTGGGTTCTATTCTGCAATCCTGGCTCTGTTGCCAGAGGAGGTGTTCATGTCTATCCATAGAATCGGCTCATAAACTTAAGCACATTTAATTAAATACACAGGATCACAGGCTGCATTAACTTTGGGTCGAAATCTGAGAAGCAGAGTGCCCTTGTACAGTGGTGGGGAGCAACAGAGACAAGATCAGAGCTTTCCCAAGAAGTGAGATTTATTGGGAGAGGAGAACAAAGTGGTCGTATAATAATTGACTGTGAAGGCTGTTCCAGAGAAGGGAAGGAAGGGTGGGGATGAGAAGTGATATGGCTGTCAGCCATGGATGCTGTACTGTACAGTGGATTGCTTCAGGGAGGGGAAATGAGGAGGTGTAGTGGGAGTAGAAAAGCTGGAGAGAGAGAGAGAGAGAGAGAGAGAGAGAGAGAGAGAGTTCCTTATGCTTTGTCTGTGCAAGGATTAGTAGCATTAGGGTAAACTGAAAAATAAAGTAAAAAGGAGAGACTTCCTTCAATCTCAGCTGGTCTTCATGGCACACACTCTACTGTTAGCAGCAGTGAGGGAAAAGAAAATGCAGGGCTAGGCATCCAGAGTCAGTCAGGTTGATTTTTTTGTAGCAAGACTTCTCCTGGGATCACCTAGAGTTCAAGGATCCGGAGGATCAAAAGCAGGAACTCATCCAGAAATTCTAGAGGCCATACAAATAGAGTGTTTGCAAGCATGGCGCTAACAATGGCATACTAAGTTGGGAACCGATTGTAAGACTGTGGAAAAGAGAATTCCTGCAAAGCAAAAACAGTCAGTTTCACATAATTATTTAATCTGTAAAGAATGTATTATTTCTGTGCACTGTAATTTAAGATGGATGTGGACAAACAAGAGTGTGTCTAGAAGAGAAGGCCTAAAAGGGAGAAGGGCCTGGAGACTAAGGGTTTGTTCAAAACAGAGTATGTTGTGGATTCAAAGTTTGCTTGTGTTCTCATTAATTGAGCATCATCAGCATGAAAACCCACTGCGGAGAGCTGCAATTTCACACATTTTCTCCACTGAATTTGGATTTTCCCAATTGGAGGATAATTCGATAAGGGGAGAAATAAATGACCCCAAACTGCTGCACTGTGGTCAGTGGATGATTTGCATCAGGTCCCCCCCTCCCATGAATGGATCAATCCTTCCCTTGTCCTTTCCATGTCCCACACTCAATTACTTACAGTGTCATCCCAAGTTGCGAGCGTTGCTTTGATTTTTTTAAAATAAAAAAACCGTTCACTCAGATTGACAAACAAAGAGGGGTGGGGGAAGGAGAAAAGCATTAAGAATAAATAAAAAATGCCCTTGCAGGTACAAGAAGTGGGAAAGAGAAAGGGGAGGAAAATAAGTGGCAATCTTTCATGTGAGCGACTTCAAATTGCACCCAGGGAAAAGACATGGAGCAGTGCTGGTGAAGAGTTAAGACTGGGGAGAATCCCAAGGGGCTGAATGAGAGGCTTAGACTTTGTCCCTCAGACTGAAAGTTCCCTGCCCCTGAAATAGCTCAAAAAATCAAAAGTAGATACCCCCCCCCGATGTGTCTTGCTTTTTATGTGAATGTCTCAAAATGACAGCAGTGATTTCCCCCACATTTCAAAAAACCAACAACATAGCTTTAAACAAAGTTTAGGCAATCCTTGCTGAGTTTATGAAGCCTCTATTTACCAGGGAGCTTGAATTTGAATTCCATTACTAAAAGCGCTGTGTAGTTTTTCCTGAACATTCTGTAAATGTTTTCTCTTGACAGATACACAAGCTCTCGTTTCTATTTCTCTCCCTGCCAGCACACAAAACCTCTGTAGCACTGCGCAATCAGAATCAAGTTCAAGAAAGACCAAGATTAAAAATGGCAACAATACCGGAGGGCAGGATTTAACAAGAATATGGTACTGCAGGAGTTAGTGCAGTCTGTGAAATGAATACAGTATCAGTTTTGACTGAATGCGGTCACAGATTTATTTGCTTGTAGGTTGCCTTTTACATTTAAACCCCTCCCAAGGTGACTTCCTATATATAAATTCATGGTGTAAAACTAATAACCAATTTAAATCGATAAGAGGAACCCACAATACCTTTCAGGGGAATCCATTGCATAATCCTGCAAAGTTTTGGTTCCCCTTCCCAGTTTTCCATATTTTTAATTGCTGCCAATCAATGAATCAATCAATCAATCAGTCAGTCAGTCATAGACATGTTCAGTCTATGGCTGGCTATTGATTTGTTTATATACTGCTTCTAACAGACGTATCTTAAGCAATGTACAGTAAAATCAACACACAAGAGACAAAAGAGCTTGAAGAACAACTACTGTGTGATTGCGTCTCACACACATTTCACTTGTGTGATTTCAACTATACACAGTTGCATAACTATTGTTCTTCTGTATCTTTGCAATTCTCCTTGGTATCCTTTCTAGTTTGTCAATGTCTGTCTTGGATTGCAGTAACTAAAAGGAGTAGTGTTTAAAGATGCCAACCTGTTTTGTTAAATTCCTGTAGAGGTTTTTTTTTAATAAGATGTGTCTGTTCTATAAAGACAATTAAGAATAATGGAACATTTTGATACTGTTCACTGGCATCACCAATAGGTATGAGACTGATTTATTATTATTATTATTATTATTATTATTATTATTATTATTATTATTTAGATACGGTTGGAGGCCTTGATCTTACAGGATTTATGAGTTTGGAAAATGCACCTTTTAGGGTGTTCTCAGTATGATGTGTAAAAGTTGAGGGTATTTTGTGTGAAAGTGAAAAGCCAGTTTAGAAGAATATTTTGTTGTGGTGGTGGTGATTATCCTGTTGTGTGTGCTATTGAGGCTCACAAGGAAAGTAGGCAGCATGTGGTGAAGTCAAGTAAAAAAAGATAATGCCCAGTTGAGATAAGCAAGGTTGAGTCACAGTAGGCTATGTCAGGTTCATCAGGTGTAGTTTAGCCTTTCTCAAACTTGGGTTCCTGTGTTATTGGACTACAACTCCCATCATTCCTCACCAGCATAGCCAGTTGTCAGGGATTATGGGAGTTGTAGTTTAATAACATATGGGGACTCAAGCTTGAGGAAGGCTGGTGTAGAAAGTCAAAGCGGGCCAGGCTGGGAAAGTATGGTCAAAAGTTCGCTTAACAAAAACCAGGACCTTGGATAGCTCCAAGTGAGCCCTGCTAGCTGAAGTTCCCTTCTACTAAAATAGCTACGGGAAGATGTTGGCTCATCCAGGAATGAAACAGAACCGAAACTTTCTGTCAACCAGAGCCTTCTGACAAGACCTGTAACATGGTTGGCTTGGCTACCCCTAGAACAGCAGGCTGGTTAGTTAAAAGGCCCTTGCCTGATTTTGCAGAAAGCTATGCCCAGCCCTGCCCAGCCCTGCCCAGCCAAAGGCCCCTCCATGAGACCATCTGCTTCAGATCCAACTCCAAATCAATTCAGAGGTGGGGCTAATGGTTAACTAAGATGCTAATTAAATGTATGGTTGGAAGAAATGTGTCTCCCTCATCCCCGACCAAGAGCAGGAGGGTTCAATTCTGTGCAGGATGCTTCTTCGAAAATGCCTTCCCCACAGGAAAAGTGCTTGTTAAGAAAGTATGCCCAGCAGGATGGAATTCCAACACTCCTTCCCCAAATATCTCCCTGCCAGGCCTCCTCACAGTCCATTCCCAAGGCCCCATTGCCATAGCAACTCCACAGGCATACCTCCATATGTGATGCAGCCACCACAGCAGGGCCAGGCTGTATTTGGGCTCTACCAGCCATAGCTCTCCACTTACTTCCGGGATGCATTTTCACCAAGTTTTCCTGCAGTCCAATCTTAGGCCTGGATGGTTGCCATGGGAACAGGGCCTTGGAAGAGGCCACAAGGAGGCCTGGAGTGGGGATTATATAGGGCACTCCTTCAAAAATGCCTTCCCTGTGCTGAGAGTCAATTCCACACTTTATGTGGCAAGTGTTTTGTCCCCCCTGCTGGTTCGGCATAATGTGTGAACAGCAGCACATAAATACAGTAACTCAGAGCAGGGCTTTAGGTGTGGCTGCCTCTGTTCTGTGGGACAGCATCCCTGCTGACATACAAAAGGCACTCACTACTTGTACTTCCCAGAAATCATTGAAGACATCTTTATTTTGGCAAGTTTTTTCAGCTATGTGTAAAAATCTCTGCTTATTCATTTTGTATTGTTCCTAATACTTTTGCCTCTAAAACCCATTTTTAGCTTTTCATGGTATGTTTGTAAATCACATTGACACATAGGTAATCACTGAATAATAAATTATATAATAATAATAGTACATTTGAAAACATTTGGCAGGAAGCCGTGGGCTTCCAGGGACATGCACCAAGTTTTTTAAAGGACAAACATCTGTGCTTTTGAGTTTGCTGCAGGAGAAACCATTGAATCTTGGCCAGTAGGATGGCCACATAAGGTTTGGGTCTGTATTAAATGCAGACCTTGGGGAATACACCCCCCAAAAGCAGCTGAGTGTTTATTGGTATTTGAAGACAGATGCTGTGAGAAAGACAAGAGCAACTGAATTCTTTCTCGGTTCATCAGTATTATATGCTAATATAGCAACTTGTCTTACTACAGAAGAGAGAATTCACTGCAATTTGAGGAACAGAAATAAAAGGAGAGCTGCAAAAACAACATTGATTCCCGACTGCAGGGAGAAAGAAGGATAAGTGGTATTAGAGATGCAGCCTTTTTAAGTCATTGTTTATTCTCTATGTTAGGCAGAATTGTTTTTGTTAGCTTGCCATTCATAAAGGAGCACATTCACAAGCAGATGATGAGCTTCAGCATTTTCCTCTCAGGAAAAAAAAAAGTAATGTTTGCTACTATTTTTTCTTTTTTGCTTATGGAAATGTACGTTAAGCAAAATGACTAAAGTGTCATATTCTGCAAAGGAATGGAAGTTTAGCCTTCACAAAGGATCCCAGTGTGTATTATGGAAAGACACATGTGTGCACATATACAGACAGAGAGCCTTGCAAAAACTAGCTGGGCAATGAAAGTAAATAGTCTACATGCAGGGACTGGAGCTACTCCTTGTAGCAAGCAGTTGCCATGAGGAATGGTTCCAACCATATTATCTCTTTCTTAAACTGCCACCAAGAATATCTGTCAACAGCATGGGGGGAAACTTGGTGTGGTGTGGGCTTCGACTTGATGAGATGCTTACAAATTTAGTCAGCATATAAATTCAATTTCAGGTAGTGCATCATGGACCTTGATTTCCAGTTCTAGTTTAGCCTTGACTATGACCCTTTGAGGAGGGAGAATTGGAAGTACAGTGAGGGGGGGAAGTATTTGATCCCCTGCTAAATTTGCCCATTTGCCCTCTGATGAAGAAATGACCAGTCCATAATTTTAATGGTAGGTTGACAATTATTTTGTGTTTCTTCCATTTGCGAATTATTGCACCAACTGTTGTCACCTTCTCACCAAA